CCCGTGATCCACCTCCTCTGACCACACCCTGCTGGCCCAGAGTAACCACCCAGCCCAGTAGTCCATTTAAACTGGAATGGACTGATTGGGTTCCAGTTCCCATAGTCTAATCATTTTACCTCTGAACATTCCTGCATTAACAGGAGATTTGGGGAATATCTCATATCCCAAGTCATAACAAGAGGCATCAAAACTAATTTCAGGGTTGGTTTGGGCTCTAAACAAAGTAGGAAATAGAAAGTAGGAAATGAAAAACTGTTAACTGAGCATGGGCTCTAGCTTGGTTATTCTCTAGAGTGGCACCTTAGGGAATGCCCTGCAGTACGTCATGCTGTGATGACTGATTACTGAATCTATAAGATGTCAGGTTCTCCAGTAACATGACATTCACTCAACAAATGTTTACTGAAGCTATGTGCTACTTCCTCTTCTAAGCATGGAAAGAAATGCAGCTTTTGAAAGGTCACTTCTTCATGGAGCTTACATTCTACTGGGAAGGAGTCAGCAATAACTGAATAGCAATATACTAAATACGTACTAAATAAACCAATGTGTTGGGTGTTAATACATACTAGGGAAAAAAAAAGAGAAAGAGGAGAGGGGAGGTGGGGGTGCACTGGTAGTTGAGACTGGGGTTGTGGCTCAGCGGTGGAGCACTTGCCTAGCACAGGCAAGGCCCTGGGTTCCGTCCTCAGCACCACATAAAAATAAATAAATAAAGATATTGTGTCCAACTACAACTAAAAAATAAATATAAAAAAGAGAGAGAGACAGAGACTCCATTATATCCCTTTAGCTGCTATAATAAATGACCAAATGAGTGCCGTGGTGCACACCTATTAATACCAGTGCCTCAGAAGGTTGAGGCCAGAGGATTGCAAGTTCAAGGCCAACCTCAGCAACTTAGTGAGGCCTAAGGATTTATCGAGACCCTGTCACAAAATAAAACATAAAAAGGAGTGGAGAGGACTCAGTGGTTAAGCAGCCCTGGATTCAATTCCTGGTACCAAAAACAAAACAAATGACCAAATGACCAAAAATTTGGTGGCTTACAACAATATATGTGTTCTCTCCCAGTTCTGGAAGCCGCAAATCCAAAATTATCATTGCTGGGCCCAAATCAGGTTGTCAGTTGGATTATACTTCCTCTCAAGGCTCAAAAGGAGAATATTTTTAGTAGCTGTCAGCATTCCTTGGCCTTTGGCCACATAATTCCAATCTCTGCCTGTGTGGTCATTTTGCTTTCTCTTCTGTGTCAAACCTTTCTCTTCCTCCCTTTTATAAGAATACATGAGATTGTATTTAGTTCTCGCCTGTGTTCTGTGGAATTCTCTTCCTTAAACACCTCTGCAAAGACCCTTTTTCCTTTTAAGGTAACGTTTGCAGGTTCAAGGGAGTAGGACCTGATACTTCTAGGGGGTCATTGCTCAGCCTAGTACAGAGACTTTACAGCCAACTCAGAAATTCAAACCCAGAAAGACAAGGTGATCGTTTATTTTTTTATAGCCCTTTCCATTCTAATTCATCATTATTTTTATAAAATAGCTTGTCTTGTCTTGTCCAGGTAACATAGCTAGTAACAAGAAAGATACTTGTTCCTTAATCTTTATAAAAAATCTTAACAGGAGCCATGATTTGGGACAACCCGAATCAATAAGTAAATGATAAACTTAAACATGTTGCTCATGTTTGTATCGCGGTGACAAAACCACAGGCTGCCACCGTAATTAGGGTTAACCATTCATCTACTCATTTGTCCATTTAGTAAATATTTACTGCTGCCATAAAGAGTTGTGGTTAAGAGCTCAGCTAGGGAGTCATTCGAATCTGAGTTCAAATCCTGACTCTACCACCTACAAGCCATATGATAGTTGGCTTTTTTTTTTTTTTTTTTTTTTTTTTTGGTACCAGGGATTAAACTCAGGGCACTCAACCACTGAGACACTTCCCCAGCCCATTTTGTGTTTTATTTAGAGACAGGGTCTCACGAAGTTGCTTAGGGCCTTGCTAAATTGCTGAGGCTGACTTTGAATTTGTGATCCTCCTACTTCAATCTCCCGAGTTACTGGGATTACAGATGTGCACCACCTCGCCCAGCTGGAAGCCTTCTTAACATCTCTGAAAATGGGGTTGGCTGGGGATTAAATGAGAAAAAAATGCATAAAGTCCTTTGCCTTGTACATGAGAAAGTGCCTGGTAAATGTGATCTAGCCCTACGAGGAGGACAACATGATATAGCAAGATGGTCTCCCTCCTTTGGTCATCAAATGTCTCCCTCTTCTAGAATGTAAGTTCTGTTAGAGCAGGGACACAGCGTTTTATTTGCTGGTCTGTCCCCATCTGGCACTTGGCATATATGAAGCACCCAGTAATTGTTTTTCTTAATGAATATATGTATGCACGTTATGGACTTCACCAGTTTATGTTTGGACAATGACCCAAGTACACACCTATCCCCACCACTACCCCCACTGTTCTCTGAGCACCCCTGAGATTCAAAGAAACGAGTGAGTCATTGGTACTACTTTTGTAGATGGGGATGAAGAGAAAGCAGAGAGGAAAAAAAAAAAAAAAAAAAAAAACGACTATTCAGGGTGGAACTTTATAGCTCATGAGGACTCTGGAGAGTTAGACCTGCAGCTTGTTTAATGCTTTCCTACAAGTGAAAGTTAAAAGGATCGAAAGAGCTAAATGAGAAACAGGCCTCTTCTCTAATTCAATTCAGCTTCGAAGTTGACACCCAAAGAAAGGAGGAAAAATTAAAAACCACTTCCATCTATCCATAGGTCCAATCTCTATACCCCATTTGCAAATATGCCTACCATTCATCAGATTTCAGATTACAAACTACTTTAAGGCAGAGATCCTCTGTTATGCCTTATTTACCAGCTTAACTAGATCTTCAAACTTCATTCACTTTCAATAAGCAAAGCACCTAGTGTGGAACAGGAAAGTTTTTCTTATTCAAAAGTACCTCTTTTACACACCAACTTTGGGCCAGGAACTGTGGTGGTAGCTGGAGATTCTAAAGTGCCCTGAAGAGGATCCCAGCCCAGCTGGGGAGACAAACAAATTAGCAAGTGATTTCAATACAATATATATGTGTTAGAAAGTATAGTGGTAGAACAACAGAGGAAATTCTGCTTGGGTGGAAATCAGAGAAGCTTCCTTGGTAGATACATGAATGCTGTCATGAAGAAGGAGTGACAGTTAACCAGGCAGATTAGGGGTTAGGGGTGGGTGGAGAAGGCATTCCAGATGAAAGAGCCACAAGTTCAAAATGACTGTCTAAATCAAAGAGTTCCTGGAATTGTTTTCGTCCAATTTTTTCTTCTGTCCTCACTGATTTTGTCCACCAGGTCTGCATGCCTGGGACCCTGTCTGAACTTCCCTGGCTCTGGCCCTATAAATTAGTATCTGACACAGTGAAAAATATTCTTCAGGCTGTAGGGTACCCAGGTCAAGGTAATGGGTCACTAGCCAGCCAGTACCTGGACAGAGTGAACCAGGGACTGAGAAACAAATCTGTGGGCCCCACATCTCCCATGAGCAGAGGTAGGCCATGGGGTAAGGCACGTGATATTTACGTTCAGAAACTGCAAAGCCACTAGCTTGCAAAGTGTCTGCAGGTGGAGGGTAATTTTCCTGTTACTCAAGGACTTCTGCCCAGGCTCTGATTGGCTTGGGGTGAATTGCTTTATGACCCAGAGCCAGGCAGTGATAGATAGGAGATGTGGTTTAGTAGGCAGAAGTTTAGAAGGCAGGAAATTGCTTCACTGGGCACAACCATTCATAAGAAACACCTCTGGGAAAAGGAGACCCAGGCTCCTGGCAGCTCTGCCCTGGCTATTTGTTTACATCAGCAACAACCCGTGTTCCTGGTTACACAATGCAGCAGCGTCACTTTGAGTGGGGGATCTTTGCCCCTTGGAAGAATAAACACATTCCTCACTTGCAGTGGAATTAGCCGGCCTCACAGACTTTCCAGTGACTCTCCTCGAGATCTTAATGTCATAGAAAGGTGACTCTAAACATGACTAGCTGAACAATCCCACTCACTCCAAATGCAGCTGACTTTTCCTTTATGGCAGTAAAGGCTTAGATGAAGATACTCTAAAGATGAATGGTGGCAAAGAGCTGCAATCCTTTGTCAGGCAATTGCCAAAGCCATGCCAGGTTTCTCAGGAACAATCCAGTCCCGGTTCTGGGGTCATTGGTCAGTTTTGGCAGAGGAGGGTGTGGAGTGTGGTTTGTTTGAATATGTTTCAAAGCCCGTGTTTCCATTGTCCCACCAGCTGTGCACGTCCTTAGCTGTGTTCTAGAGTCCAGAGATCTTGCTGCCTAGAGCCATCCAATCTGTGTGCACCATCCGGAGGAGAGATAAAGGGCAGCGGTTAGAGTCTCCAGATCCATGGGGGTCTGTCTAGCAAGTCATTGGCGGCTGCCTGCCCAGCACTGTTGAGAAGAATCAAGAGTCACACCCTGGCCAGGTGTGGTGGCCCACACTTGTAATCCCAGCAACTCCTGAGGCTGAGGAAAGAGGATCACAAGTTCAAGCCCAGCCACAGCAATTTAGTGAGGACCCGAGCAATTTAGTGAAACCCTGTCTCTAATAAAACATTTTTTAAAAAGAGCTAGGGATAGTCTGGTTTCTCTTCAGATCATATAACTCTTTCACCTTTTACCGTGGGGAAACAATTTCTGTGGGGAACAATTCTGAGACTTAACCCAAATTTTTGAGGCCTTGCATTTGCAGGGCTGATAAAGGTGTGCAAAGATTAAAAAATAAAATAAAAAAGTGCTGGGGAGGCAGGCGCAGTGGTGAATACCTGTAATCCCAGCAGCTCAGGAGGCTGAGACAGGAGGATTATAAATTCAAAGCCAGCCTCAGCAAAAACAAGGCACTAAGCAACTCAGTGAGACCCTGTCTCTAAATAAAACACAAAAAAATAGAGTGGGGAATGTGGCTCAGTGGGCAAGTGCCCCTGAGTTCAATCCCTAGTACATTAAAAAAAGGTGGGATGGGGTGGGGCTGGGGATGTGGCTCAGTACCCTTGGGTTCAATCTCTGGTAGCAAAAAAAAGTCATGCCCTGGGCCCACTCCCTCCCGTCTCATTCGCAAACCTCATCTCAGTCCTGGCCTGGCCCTGGGCTTTGGCAGGCTGCCTCACTTCTCTTAGATCTTGGGTTCTTGATCTGTGCAATGGGCAGCACCAGGTCACTAACCTCCTAGTTCTAAGGTGAGAATGAAATGAAGCAATGGATTTCCTCATTCTCAAGTGTTTATGCGCAGGGTTTGATGATGGTCTCTGTGGCCGTGGAGCAGGTGGAGGGGCTTGGAGGAGAATTTCATTTTATGATTTTTCAACCTTCATATGAGAGATCACAGACAATTCTTCATTACCTCTGATTTAGTCTGAGACCTACCAGCTGTATCTTTACACAGGCAGAACACCCAGAGGCAGGAAAATTATCGACAGAAAACCCTGGGCTTACCCCACCTGGGCTTGTTTGGTTTGATTCCCTAGAGGCTGTTTGATTCAATGCCCATTTGCCAGCTCTAAGGGCACTCAGACTACGCCATTCTGGCTCCCCACCCTCTCATCAGCACCTCACACAGTGTCCGCTACATAGTAAGTTCTCTAAAAAGATTTGCTGAGTGAATAAGCATGGGCATGAGAGCATCAATCAATCAATAACTGGGTTGCATTTCTTTTAAAAATGTGAAAAACGCTGATATAGTGACTCCATAACAAACCTACTATGGACTTTGGAAGGCCTTACTTCTACATCATCAGATAAGCAGGCAGTCTGGATTTCTAGTTTCCTTGAACAGATAAAGCAGTCCTGTCAGGAAAATCAAAGTGGGGCATTATCCCAAAGGTCATACAAGGACAATCCCTAGTCCAGATTATTAGTTTTAAACTCCCCTCGGGGTCCCAAACTCACTGCTACCCCTGCCCTGCTCTTTTTCTCTGAAAAACTGTAAAGACAGGATCTTCCTGTGTTACTCAGACTGGCCTCAAACTCTTACCTCAAGTGATCTTCCTGCTCGGCCTCCTTAGAAGCTGGGATTGCAGGTGTGCACCACTACACTTGGCTTGGAAAAATGTTTAGAGCCACTGACCCAGATACTTGGGAAATAGGATTGCAGGATCCATAAACTCTAAACCCTTCTAGAGGGACCAGGATAAGCCTAGAAGTAGAGGGACAATCATTCAGTTATCAGACTGGAGGAGTGTGTGGCCAGGGTGGCATAGGACAAATTTGGAGGAGTAATTTGGGATCAAGGGCAAGAGCTGTGCTACTGTATTAGAGGCCCACACTGGGGTGGCTCTCTGAAATGCGGTACATGTATCTGGGCCCTCTATCCTAAAAGGCAAGTTTATTAAGCCACAGGAGAAACAGCTCAGCTTCTGGTACCTGGAATGGAACCCAGGGGTGCCTAACCACTGAACCACATCCTCAGTCCTTTTTATTTTTTAATTTTGAAACAAGATCTCACTAAAAGAGAAGGGCTTAGGGTCTTCCTAAGTTGCCAAGACTGGCCTTGAACTTACTATCCTCCTGCCTCAGCCTCTAAATCATTGGGATTATAGGTGCGCACCACCAACACCTGTCTTAACTGCATTTATATATAAAAGCAAGTTCATACATTGCGGTAGGAAACATAATTTAAATGCATTTTAAGATAAAATATGAAGCTTCAAAGAAATTTCCTGTTTGCAGTGCTCTAAATTCCAGACCCCTTTGAGAAACACTCATCCCTGCTTCTCTGCCACTAGTGGTACTTCAATCAAGAAATTCCAGAGAGAACCATGCAGGGAATACTGTGCATACAGGGCACTGTCCATGCGTGTTGCTGAACCTCATCCCATGCAGTAAAGGTCCCCTTCATGCAACAATGACATTGGTACTGCAACAACTTCTCTATCACCTGGTCTGACCCTTGGTTCCAAGAGATCAACTTGTTCTTCTCCCAGGTTCTCAGATACGAGTCCCGTGTATGCCTCTGTTATTATTCTCTCTGCTTCAGTTGGCCATGACAGCATTTGGCACAGGTGAGACACTCCATAAACATGTATGGGGATGAACTGAGTTCTGGGCAGATGCAACAGTCTCCTCCTTCCTTCCTCCTGAGGTCAGAGGCAGCTCTGATACTGAATCCACAGGGCACAGGGCAGCATGGGCACAGCTCTCAAATGCAGCTCCAGCTGGGGCCCAGTGGGGACAAATTTCACTTCTTTTTGTCCCAGGGCTAATGGGCTGAAAAAATTTTTTCCAAGTAGAGACACAAGAAAAAACTTTGATCCACATTTTTGAGAGGATACTAAAATCACAGGGAGCAGCTAGACCTGCAGCAGGTTGGTGAGTTAACAGGGCAATTCTGGAATGTACTGAGGTTGAGGGTGAATGGGTATCTACCTGGGTCTGGGGCATCTGGTAATCTCTAAGTTCCTTCTGGGCAAACTTTCTTTTTTTTAAAAAAAGGGTTTTTTTTTAATATTTATTTATTTATTTTTAGTTTTTCGGTGGACACAACATCTTTGTTTGTACGTGGTGCTGAGGGTCGAACCCGGGCTGCACACATGCCAGGCGAGCACGCTACTGCTTGAGGCACATCCTCAGCCCCTGGGCAAACTTTCTTAAGACCGCAGATTTCCAATTTGTCAAAGCAGGTTCCCTAGGGTCCCCAGGGCCCTCAGGGCCCCCAGGCAAGAGAAATTTCCCTACACCTCCTTGATTCCAGCACAAGCCCCTTAGAGTGGGAACGGTGTCTCATTAATCACTGTGCCCCTACTTCTTAGTGAAGTCACTACACATAAGATACCCTCAATAAATATTTGCTGGTATATGAGACAACTGCATTCACCTAGTCGTAACAAATATTTATATTCTGTGCTGTCTACACTGGGCATAAGAATAGGAAATAGTTTGGGGCTGGGGATGTGGCTCAGTGGTAGAGCACTTGCCTCCTGTGTATGATGTCCTGGGTCTAATCCCCAGAGCTGCCAAAAATTTAAAAAAAAAAAAATGAAAGCAAGGAAAAAAATATTCCTTCCCTCAAGAAACTTATAGCTTAGTAGAGAAGACTAATGCAGAAAATGCCCAGTGTAGTGGACATGACCCAGTGCCCATTGTATAAGTACCACAACAGAGGCATGTCCAAAAATAAAAGGGATAACACCAGGGCCTTCCAAACAGTGCAGGTCCTGCCTCCTAATAGTGGGTGGACCCAGAAGCCATCAAGGTGGCTGAAGTCATGGGGGGCAGAGGAAGGGTCAACTTTGAAGGTGGGTTTTCACAATCACAGGAATGCCCAGAGTGGGTGGGCTGAGGGTGACCTCCCCATCACCCTGTAGGAAAGTGAGGCCCAGCTAACACCTGTTGAGACAGGTAACTCTTATTTGCCCATTGTCCTGTATTTGCAGAGGAGGAGCGAGGAGCTCCAGGCAGTAAGAGTGAATGGGTCACAACCAGGTGAGCCTCCTTTTGGCACCACAAGCATTAGCACAGAGATAGGCAGTCATCCTAAGCAGGATTTATACTCCAGATTTCAAGGTCTTATCATAAACAAGCTCTTTCTCAATTGCAACATGTCTGGGTAAGGGGAATAAATAGATAGGGAAAGCTGGAGAGAGGGGATGGGGGTGAGAATCTAGTAACCATGTGCAGGGTAGGATATGGCAGAAGAAAGAGAGAAAGAGAGAGAGAGAGAGAGAGAGAGAGAAGAAAGAGAGGTAGTAGAGCTGTTCATGGCTCACTGTCGTATGGGACTTTGAACTGGTTAATAATAAGGTTTTACTTGTCCCATTCCTGTGTCCAGTCACCATGCTTTGGAACATGGTGAAATCCTGGAGCAAGCCCAAGGAGCCAGCCTCATGAGAACACGATCTCACTTAGGTCCCTCCTCTCACAGAATTTCTCCCCGGCCCCTACAGGACTTCTCTCCAGTTCATTTTATTGGTTGTGGGTAGAAGGCAGGTGGCAGTATCTCTGGTTATAATCTAAAGCTTTGGAGGCAGGAATTCAGCAGAGCTGTCCCTGGGAAATGGCAAGTTGTTTGCCCATGCTGCTTTGGCTTGGAAGAAAAGGGGTGGGGCCTCGTGCTGGAGTCAGGGAGGCAACGGATGGAGGGTAAGAAGGGAGAAGAGAGTGAGTCAACCTCAAGGCAAAGCACATATACTTGTCCTTGGCTCCTGAAGGCCCCAGTGCTGCCTCTGGATGCCTCTTTCTTCCTTCAGGTCTTCCCCTGACTCTCACCTGATGCTGCCTAAATAAAAGCAGTATCCAAGGCAAGCAGCAAACCCCCCTTGTGCCCTGGATCATACCCTGCAGACCACTTGAAGGAAGGGATCAAGTGTTCTTTCCACAGCAGGCCTGTCATCAGCCCTTCAGGATGTGGACCTAGTATATGTCCTGCTCCTAGGTGGGACTGCTGGCTCAGCAGGATTTGGGAGATGTCCTTGGAGGACCCCCAGGGTGTACCTCTCACCTCCTGCTTCTCCAGAGACATCAAACGCACCAGGCCTGGGCAGGCAGGGCGGAGTTAACAAACACAGCAAGGCTGGGGGAGGTTCCCAGTCCTCTCCCTCAGACTCCCAACTCCAGCCTGAGCAAATCCCCCCTGTGACTTCAAAGCCAGCAGCTTGTTTGCCTGAGGAACAACAATGCTTAGGGAACACAGGGCAGCAACAATGCTTTCCCTTTTGACCTAAGAAAGCATCCCTGGCATCATTGCTAGACAACTACTGGCCA